TGCTCTTGCGAGTAGGCTTATCCACCTACTCCTTCCTCAACTTCTTATGGGTGGAAGGTTTATCCAGACCGGTATGCTTGTGCTTCTCCCATTTCTTAGCTGGGGGAGAAGGCAGTGACTGAGCCTCCATAGAAGCGGCACCTTCGTCCGAAGGATGCTGTGGAGGATCGGCAGAGGTCGAGGAAGGATGCTTCGAGGTGCGGACGAAGAGGAACCAGGCTGTAGGAGCAGTTGGTCAGACTGCACTAATGCCTGATCCCATAGGAGCTTCCTGAGACGATTCTCCCTGTTTTTCCGCACCTGCTTGGTAAACACCAAGCAATGACTGCATTTGTCAGTCCTATGCCCCTCGCCGAGGCAGAGGAGGCATAGATCATGTGGATCCACTGGCGACATTTTAGATCCACATTCAATACATTTGTGGAATGCCGCCCGCTGCGCCATCGCGGAAAAATGAAGAAAAGAGAACAGTATAGAGGGTAAGATAATATTTTTGTTTGTTTGTTTTTTGCTTTTTTATATATAGAGAGAAGAGAATTTAAGAAGAAAACGGACAGAATCGGGAAGAAGAACAAACTTGGAGCAAGAGGAGTTTAAGGTTTTTGAGAAAAAAACAACGAAGAGGCACAGATCTATAGCGAGAGACGAACAGGCACAAGGCACAGTGAACAGCAGTCGCAAAGACTGAGTAAAATGGCGGACACTCCGCTCTATTTATACCACGAAGGGGGAGGGGAGGGGAGTTTTCCCGCCAAAAACCGTTAGCTTTCTAATCTTCCAGCCTAGGCACTGCGCAGGCGCAGCACCCATATGTGAGATGCACAGAGGCCACGACGAAGAAGTGCTCAATGTCTGTTGCACAAGCGTGGAACAGAATTTGCCGCTCTGGATCAGAACGAGAATGGATGCAGCCCCCCCCCCCCACTTGCAACTGTTCACTAAGGAGCCAAAGATGGACTAGTGAGAGGGACAGGGATATATGGGATTAGGGACAGGGATGGATGAAACAAGCAGTTTTTCCAATCAGTTTTCCCCAGTATGATGTGCTTTGGTGTGTACTTTCCACTAATAAACATTGTTTTTATGTGAATGTGTTTCATTTTCAAACAGCATTGCAAAATTTGTACGAGCACGAGTATCAGGAACAGCAGTTCAGTTTCTGTGGAAGTCTGGAAAATGCACGCTGGGCATATTTGCAATGTGAATCCAATAAGTTTCTCACCTATCCTTAATGTGCGATAGTCTTAAAATAAATAGTGGATTTTCAACTTGTTATGCTTAAGTGCACTTTAACATCATCCTAACCGATCATTGACCCTCTCACTGATCAAAAAACAAGATAGTCGTCTACTGATTTCTTACAAATTAAATCCAGATCTTCAGAATCATGTAAAGTGAAAGAGAAGAACAGATGTGAAGACTATAAATCATAAGGAAACTTATGAGTCATATAGAAAGTTGCTGACTGACTAAATGATGTTATGCTTTGAGGAAACGTCAATACATTTTTGGGAGGAGTTAATGAACTGTGTCACCTTTGTTACTGCTTTAGCATATAAACTATTGCTAGCAAAAAGTTACAGAAGAATGGTCATGTTAAGTCAGGTTTGCAAAGAAGAACAGAGGCATCTTAAACAGTGAAAGAAGTCACGACAGACTAATTTCTGGATTAACTCTGCTTCATAAGATACATTTATGCAACAATAGTTTTAAAATTGTTAACAGATCGGCCTGCCAAAAACTACATCCAGAATTGTTTCCAAGGAATCAAATACTGAGTAAACATGCAAACTATTCTGCTGTAAACATGCATCCTTTGTTTCTATAACTGCTGCTTTGCTTGTTACGTGCAAATTGCAACCACCATATTGCTGGCAAGAACCCGGATGTCTGGAGATTTAACACCAATTCTGGCCCACTTGTACTGGTCGTCAATATGATTCCAGGCCAAATTTAAAAGACTTCTGAAGTCTGTCATAACTCAAGAGCTCAGTATCAAACAGAGCATATGTCCTGATACCATGCTCTTCATCTGAGCACCTCTTCCAAGGGAGCCTTGGATGATGGCAACAAAGGAGAGGGCCTTCTCAGTGGTAGACCCTGATTATGGAAGAATCTTCCCAGAGAAGCCCATCTGGCGTTTCCATTGTTATCTTTTGGGTTAAGAATATCATATCCTTCTAGGTGTTTTATGGTATGAGATGGAGCTTCTAATGCCAGTTTGATCAGGTTCAGGTATCTTATTGCGACTATTCTTAGCAGTTAATTTGTTTTTCAAAATTGTATGTTCATGTTTTTGTATTACTTTTTGGTTAGATCGTATTTTTAGATTGTTCCATAAAGAAAGAGCTGAGCAGGGCTGCTAAAGACAGGATGTTCATCATAAGTTGGAGACAACTTATGGGCACATAACTCTTTGGGGTTGTAATTTTGATGGAACATCCAGAGAGCACTGGCTGTTGGATGATCCAGAAATGAAATGAAATGGGACACCAAGGTTCTGAACAAGGCAGTCCCACTGAGCTTCAGCCAGATTGATGCCTCCCAGACTACTGAACCTGCAACTGAAGCTACAAAGTAATCACGTGGTCAGCAATGTACACCTACGAACCTCTAAAAATAACCTTCACAGCTTCCTGGAAAGAAAAGCAAACAAACAGCTTTACACTGCCTTTTGAACAAGACGGCAACATAGTCTGCCAAGCTTCTTAAGGAAAGGAATCCAGGGTGCGGGTGGAACCACAAAGAAGCCTATTTATTTATTTAATAAAGAAGGCAATGCTTTGTTGCTACTGTAGTATTAGAAAAGTAAATTTCTGTAAGGCTAATGGGGAAAGCAACAATGGGCATTTTGTGCAGCTTAAACTACGGGATGCTCAAAGTCTCCTCATTGCAACAACAAGGAGAACTTGGCTTATAAGCCTCCAGAGACCCCCCGCTTCTTCCTACACTCCACAGCTATTTTGGTTTACTTCGGACATAGTTTTCCACCAAGTGAGATAGAACAAGAATTGATCTTCCCAAATAAAGCCAACACGGAAATTGTTTTCTACTGATTTTTGCTTTGATTTTTTTGCTGGACTTGCTCTCAGGTTTAAATAAAGCCTCTGGTATGAATCGCAGTGCAGTACCAGCCCTTGGAACATCCTTGGCTCAAGTTAAATATCGCAGCAAACCACAGTCAAAACCGCTTCACTATGGTTTGATTAGATCGGTTTACATGACACGCCGGTGCACATGCCACACGGAATTTGAGCATGGTGTGTCATGTGAACCGGGGACTGCAGTGAAGCAAGGGCTGTTTAGCCTGCCTGTAACTCCCAATCACTGGTTCAGAAAACTCAGCAACCCTCCAACCCCTTAAATAGGAGTCATGTGTTCAAAACGGCAGCCGGAACAAAGTACAAGTCATAAAGGGATTAAATAATCCACAATCAACTTTCATGTTGTACAAACCAGCCCCATTCCTTGTCTTCAGCAAAGGGTGCACGGACTTCTTATGAAGAACTCAAATTTGCTTATATTGCTCAATTTTACCCTCTTTACTTGTATCTGTGTATACGGTGTGTTTTTATTTTTGTAGGTAAATAGTTCTCATACTTTATTTTTTAGGTATTAATTTTAATGAACACCCCAGAGGTTGGGTGGCATCAAAATGTAATAAATTAACATGAAATGAAACTGACATTTATCTGCTGAATTATGGAGACAAGTGAACAGGCAGAAAAGAAAACTGAAAAGAAAAGCAGAAGGTGAATTCTTAACGCTTGCTGGCCTATTATGTTTTGCAGAACAATTCTAAACCCCAGATCTGCTGGCGGGGGTGGGGGGCATATTGAGATGGATTGCTCCACCGCTTGTGACTTATGGTACATCCAAGGAAATCTCCATGGACACAGGTCCACCACCAATGGAGTTTCCAATGGCAGAAGAGCTTTCCAGGGGCACCAAGGGGTGGCCTATTAATAACAACAACAACTGGGTGAGTCAGGGTGGATCCATGTTCTCCAAGAAACCTAGGCTTGGGGTTCTCACCTATGCACAGATACTTTCCCTTCTCATGAAACCAATGTGAAGAAGGCACATGGAAGCAGTGAAGAAGAGGAAAACTTTACAGTGCCTGGTCAGTAGGTATAACCCCACCAGGGTTCAGAAGCACCAGATGCTTTGCCCCTTCAGCCCCCCACCTCTTTAGGATTGATCTGCCCATATCCAAACCATGGTTTGAGCTTCAGGCTATGGCTAGCAGTGAACAAGATCTGGCATAATGTCTGAAAATGGCTATTATGCAAATTCAGTGCTAAGGCTTAGCCAGAATATTACATTTTTTGAGAATTACTGCATCCCTAAGGAAACAATTCCCTCAATATCCAAGGAAAATTAAGTTTTGTATTAACATTACGGAGATGCTCAATACTTCATCATGTACATTTTGAAAGCAACTTGGATATGAAGAATTTACTGACTGAACTAGGCAATAGCTATGTTTATAAACTGTCATAAGAATAACCTGAAAGGCTCAGCAATCATATATGGCAGACTTTTAATCCATTTCATATTTGTAGCTTTTTAATTTGCTGCTTTATGAATGAAAACTGTAGTTACATGACAAAATATCTATGATAAAATGGTCTGCATTTTGCTGATGGCAGTCAGATTAACTGCGAATGTCAGAACAGATTATCTCATTAAAGGGGAAGTTGACGTTTCAAGCAGGGCAGAATGTCATTGGTACTGGGGTGCAGGGGGTGGGAACGGTAGCGCAAACCTTTGGCCCTATATGCCAACTTTGGGGAGCCTGTTTTGATGAAGCTTCCTGCACAGAGATCTTTCTCCACAGAATATGGTCTGTTGGTGACCAGCAAACTCACTGACCTTCCAGCAGGTCTGTATAGAAGTATCCCAACTTAAAGACATAAGCTAAAAAAGTTAGTTCTTCTTCCATCTACTCATTCTAACTCTGAAGGCGTTGGGTATTGAGGAGTACATTAAAAACATACCTGAAACAGCATGGTCCTGTTCTTCTCAGAGTCAGAGGGCTGGACATGACTAGGGGCACTTGCGTGTCGCCTTCGTGACTGTGTTTTCAAACTACTATCATGCACCTTCCTTTGCGTAACACCCGCAACGCTGCTGCATCGAGCACGGAACTCCTGCTGGTCATCGAATCCAGAATCCTCCAGAATCCGTTCTGGAAAAGAGACCCGGCCACTAGCCAGGCTGGCCAGGTTGGTCTGGCTCCCCACTATGAACATGCCGGTATTCCCGTCATTTGGGCTATCCAGCTCCTCAAATGGGCTGTCTAAGGGAGAAGACGGTGTATCCCCTTCGTACTCAGCAAGATCTGTGCTAGATTCCATGTTCCGGTGCTCGCTTAACAGCTTCAGGCGCTGGCGCTCATGAAGATTGAACTTCTGGATGCAGTCATCGATCAGGGTCGAAGGAGCCTTTTTGTGGGCCACTGTGACTTTTCCACAGTACAGGACCTCAAACTTCTGAGAGTTGTAGAAGGCATCTTCACTGTCTTTGTTGGGTTTGACCTCCCCTTTAAGGGCTGCTTTGGAAACCTGCCTTATGCTACTGATAACATCAGGAACCTTTAAAAGAATGAGAGAGAGAAACACCATGAACATGGCAGAATTCCACTGCTATTCCTATTACCTGGGAAAAGGTAACCTAAGGTTGCTCTGTAAGGCTCAGAGCACATCAAGTTTTCCAAACTTCCTGCCAAAACTCTGTTGACATTGACAAGGGTGAGGTCTCCAACCATTATTCAGCTAAGCATGGGAACTCCCAAGATGGTAAACTCTCAATTGCTCTCCAAATTCTTGGATTACCTATTGAACTGGCCATGGAGAGCCATAAGAAATAAAGGGCACTGTACAAGCAGTACCGTAAAGCCCATTTCAAGATCCAGTGAAATCGCCACGAGGAAATGGTCTCCCTTTTGTGTGCCTGGGAACTGAACTTCCAGGAGGCTCACGTTTTTAAAGATATTCAGCACACAATCTGTAACACCTCGGGCATGCCAGATCTCCAGCACTGCTATTTTCTTTCTAGATTTCCCTTTTCTGTCTAAGTTTGTGAGTCCTTCAACCCAGTCTTCACAGTGCATTCCTGAATCACCGCTCCAATCTGCAGCTGCAAGCAGAATGCAGGAAACCATTTTCTTTCTGTCCTTTTTACATTCTCCTCCAATTCCCCTGTTCCTCTGCCTGTTTTGATGCCAATGCCACACTGTGTAATTGAGTTCTGTTATTTTTTCTCCATAGCACTCCTTATTGAAAAGCCCCAAGTCTGCCTTCTGCCTATCTTCCGTGTGCACTCCATTACCCAGACCATACAGTCAAAATATTACTCATACTTGCTACCCTCGTGTCCGGTTAATATTGCAGCTCAACCACTTTTATCACACGGAGTCACCTGTTCTTCGGCAGAATAGAGCCAGGGTCGCATGGGGAAATGGTTCCCCAGCACATGCTAGAGCTAAATTCTCCAGTTATCTGTGCTCAAGAGGGACTATTTTATAAACACAAAGTAGTCTGCACGCATGTATCCGTTTTGTTGGCAGCCAGGCAACATTGGAAGGGACCCAGAAGTCTTTTTCTCAACAGAACTTGGAAAAACATGAACCATGCCTCAGCAAGGCTGCCTTTTCTAAAGGCAAATAACTTTTGTCCAGCTTGGAATAGCCTTTTAACTGCTGAATTGGCACCAAGTGTAAAATTAGAAATTCACAGACAAAAAGTCACATCCTAAGTCCATCTTTAGATAGGAGTACAATAGCTTATATACTCTCCTGCAAAGATGAGACAAAATAACCTCAACAAGGAAAGAGATTACGGTTTTGAACATACACATAGTTCTGGTGAATGAACCGAGAAAGCAGTCTGCAGAAGACGGAAAAGGTCAACCATTTAATAGCAGCCACAGAAAATGTTTTTCTGCACTAACTAAACGATGCCTCTTTCTCTCTTCAAATGCTTTGTTGCATTTATGAAGACCAATCTCAAGTCCTTTGCTGGTTAAGTTCCAGCCATTATTTCAAAATTGTTCTGACCTGAACCTATCGATTCTGTGGCTTTCTTCTGTTTCCTAGGAGCTTTGCCATCACTACTATACTTTCCATCACCTCTCATAATTGCATTCCGGCTCAGTCTTTTGGGCATTCTCTTCACCTATAATCTAGGCTTGTTCATCTTGGTCTTGGAGCAGCTTCTGCCACCTTCTTGGAGCACAGAAATTGCGGGCTTTAGCACAAGCAAGCATGCAGTGCTGGTTTTAAGCTGGTGCCGCAGTTTGATGCATACAAACACTGCATTGATGTGTTTTGTTTGGACAAGCTAAGCCTTACCGTTAAGGCTATACAAAACCAGCGAACTGGGACTGCGTCCAGAACTGCATAAGGCATCCTGCGGTGGATCCTAGGAACTTTCGTTTGAGAACTGGAATATTCCTCTCACCAAACTATCCCATTAACATAGATCAGCATTGGACAAAACATTGCCTATAGCCACATGTGACCCACCGCATCTCCAACGAATGGAAATGGTTTTCAATGCCACCCACACTAAATATGGAATGCCAAATGGGACAAAAATTGCTGGCAAACAAGTTAAGTTTGCCTGTTTGGGGACCCCTAGAGTCATTATGAAAGAGGTATAAAATTGGCATCTGCCAGAGGGCACGGCTGAGAGGGAAGGCAATAATGGCACCCCAGAACTTCCAAAGTGGCTGACCCTGCCATGAGCAAATATCCTTTAACTCCTGAAAGACTTTGCATACAGTCCACAGTGACTGTAGAATATATAGCCCTTAATACATAAAAAATTACATTAGCTACCTTTTGGAGGTGGACAGCAGCAGCACTTAGAATCCACTTACTTCATGATGTCCTATTTAGCGATTTTAACTTTTCAAAAGGACGAATGTCAGCTCTGGTTTCTCCTTTTACACTTCTAGCTTGCTTGAATTTTTTCTGGCATAGGTTGTACCCTTTTTCCAGTTTCAGAAACCCCCAATTCAGTGTTCTTGGGCTAACCAAATCCATTCACTTACAAACCAGCAGAGAGGGCTGGTCCCATCAGGGAACAAGACATGGAGGCCATGCTTGATGACCAGAACAAACAGCATCAGCAATGTTGTGGGAGCCACTTCTGGGATTTTGTCACCACTCCAGGCCCTGGCAGTGGGGCAGAAGCAAAATTCCTGGATTTACGGGTTTTCCTTCTCCCTTCTTTGCCAGGAGTTGCTTGGTACTGCCACTATTTGAACTAGTTCCATTTAAATAGTTAGTTGTTCCAAGCACTGATGAACAGGACCATGCATAAATCTAAACATCCTCAACTAACAACACAATAAACAAGGTTCATTAATTGTGTAAGGACCAATGGAGTTATTTTTAAGCTCTAGCGCATACCAGCTCTCTTTGTTCTTTCCAGATAAATTACCACTCCAGCTTTCTGTCTACATCAATCACACATCCGCATGTGCACCACTCCAAAGTGGATGAGGAAAACTCAGTACCGAAGCACAAAATCCACAGTTGGGCAATACCAGTATGAGGACCAATCAAAATTCTGCGGAAGATTGGGCAAACTGTGCAATATTCCCGAATTCTTCATCAAGCTACGTAGGTGGGATCAAAAAATAGAATGGAAGAACAGAAGATCCCAGAAAAGTAAGCCAGTTCTTGTGGCCGTGAATTCTTAAATTTAGCCCGTGTCAGAATGGAGATTGCAGACTGAAATTAGCTATCAGTGGTTGTTGCAGGTATAAGACTGCAGCTATTTCTTATGTGTAATCTGGGCCTCACTCTTCATTCTATAGCTAGCTAAATACAGCTGACGGCCCCCAGAGAAGACTTTGGTCACTGGCTCTCCCCTATACAGCCACTAAACATTCAGCCTTCCTCTGCGTTCAGGTGACTTTGAGCAACAGCTGCACGCTAACGCTAAATCCGTTCGAGGGCAGCCATTGTGAAGCGGTACAATGACGCACTCACTGTACCGTGTCTACCAGTGCGTCAGTAAGTCATCATATTGCTACCCCTAACAGGATGATTAAACCCTTCATCGCTTAACCCTTACAAACCTCGGAAACACATTTTCCATCTCAGGCATAACTCAGGGGGCCTCCTTCAACTGCAGAACATGCAACCCCATTTCAAAGGACAAGAAATTGAGTACGGAGACGCCCCAGCTTGTGATGGAACAGTATAGCTCTACAAACGTACTCTCTGCTTGAACTTCATGCAGTCACGGCTGTATCTGGGCATGCGTGCACTGCCTGAGCGTGGAAATGCTGAAGAAAAATATGGGATGCGTATGGATAAAATAAAACTCTCCATCTGATCACTAAATTGACTCCTGCACCCATTCTGGATGGAGAAGCAGCGAAACACACTGCAATACGATATCTGAAGAAGGCTGTGGAACATTATTTACTAGCATATTTAGTAAGAATATCCATCTAGTTTTACATGTACAGATAAAGACTTCTGCTAGGAAATTTGTCTAAGAGGTGACATTACTTGGAGCCTTTTTAGTTTTATTCCCTTCATAACTCTTTTTTAGTTTTATTCTTCAAACCAAACTAGTGGAGTGAAATTCACATAAACAAGTTATTATTTAAACTGCTCTGCAAGCAGAAACGTGGGCATGTGAACTGGAGAATATATGGTATAATGCACACAGACATTTTAAATTCTCTTTAAATTGTTTATGGGTGCTGTCTCCAAAATGCACAAGCCTTATTCTTTCTCTTTTGTTGTTGTTGATGTTGCTTACCCTCGTGTAAACACTAGGGAATTATTCTTAAGTGTTGTCATATGTTTTCAGGCTATGTAACTTATAAAAACCCACTATGGATTCAAAACCACCAATCAACCAACTGGATACTTTGATGTAAAAATAATAGCTGGTACCAATACAATTGCCAAAAACAGTTTATGATCCTTTTATTTGTAAAATTCAAGATTATGACCAGTGCCTACTTTTTTTCAGTAAGCAAGTTAAAATGCTTTCCCCGTTTTTTATAGATACCATTGCCTCTGCTAGTTTTTATTGTAGCAATTTTATTTGAACAAAAAGTGACCGAGAATTAAGGAAATATATTTTATAAATGGATGGTTTAGCAGCCTAGTATAACATTACGAGGCAGTACAATTACACACATGGCCCATGTAAAGCTCAGTGCTGATTCTGTGCTGAATAAAACAGAACTCCCGCTAGTACCTACTTAGGAGTCATCCTCTGGTTCCCTGTAAAGGAGAAGACAATCAGTAAAAGCTGAAATTAATCCTGCAATTATAAGACGCTGATTCTGAATGTCTCTCCTCTTCTCGAAACTGAAAAGAACAACTCGAAGGGACACCTCTTCCCTTATATGCCCCTCACGCCCCTTAAGATCTGCGGGAGAGCGGGAGAGGCTTTGCTCCAGGAACCCTCCCTGAAGGAGATAAAAAGAACATCTACCCGGAGAAGGGCCTTCTCTGCGGTGGCACCCAGATTGTGGAATGCGCTCCCCAGAGAGGTGCACCTGATAGCAAATTTATATTCTTTTCGGCACCAGGTCAAAACCTTTTTATTTAATCGCT